AGAATAGCTAGCCTTCTCATAGATGTGATTAACTGAGCCAAAGGGAGGGCATGTCATGTTTTCATTTTCAACTATGTTGTACTAATTGTACTGCACTACAGTATATAATCAAAAAATGTTCTTTTAATTGAAAAAAATAAAACGAAAGTTATTTGGATTCTAAACATTCTCTGCCTTATATGGAACCAGACAGCCCTTTAGAGAGGAGACTAGCATTTTTTATTTATTCAACAACTCTTTAATAAACATGTGCTCTATATCAGATACCTGGGCAGGCTCTGGTATTATAATAGCAATAGAATGAAAAATTCACTCATTGAATTTGCAATCTAGTATAATAGCAGAGATCTACAATAATCAAAGAATCATATACCTAAATGTTTGCATTCATGAAAGGTGCTATGATATAAAGTACTTGGAATTGACCTAGAATTCATGAGTTCCTAACTCTCCTAAATTGGATTAAATCCATTGACCCAGTAATTCTACATCTAGGAATTTATCTTACATATATGCTATCTCATTTTCTTAAAGATAGGTGATGGAGCTGTATTGTTTGTGAGTTTGTAAGAAATTTAACTGTTCATGATAGGAGACTATGCTATTAAATTATGCAATAACTATATAGTAGAACCATTTGTGTCATTAAAAATATAGTAGGCAATAAGATGAGCTCTTCTAAATATATATTACATGAAAAACATTTCAAAACAACATGAATACATGACAGGTTAATACAACTTATATTAAAAGGAAAAAAGGAATGTATAGGTATTTATACTTATAGTCTGGAATAAATTATCTTTCTCTGAAGAATGGGAGAAGCTATTTTACTTTCACTTTTTAATTTTTAGCATTTTGTATTATGTTTTTTATTTGTATATGTGTGATGGTGGTGGTTGTTTTATTTACAAGGGTACCTATAATTTGTTAATTATAGTAGAGGCCCAGCATACAAAATCAAGTGGTAACCCACCACTGCCCACAGCCCTGCTCACCTGCCCACCACACCGCCCGCCCACTTGCCCTCATGGTGACTGGTTGCTTGGTCGTCACAGTCATCATGGACACTGGCTTTTTATATATATAGATACAATTTTGTATACATAATTGTCGTTTAATGAGCTCCATTACATGACCATTACAGAATCAAAATGTTCAGTGACAGAATCCTAATAATTTATCATTTTACACCATCATTATGGGGACGAAAATTACTACCTAGAGTTCCTTAGATGAATCTAGCAACTAGAATGAGAACCACTAGTCTAAATATCAACTTTAGGAAAAAGTTTTACTTTCAAGCTCATATAACTATTCAGAAAACAAAATGCATACCATGATAAAAATATTAGTAGTTATTTCAATTGCTGATGTCATAGTCCCTTTCAGAATCTACAGAAGCCTGCAAATGACATTTGAAGACTAAACAAGGTTTTTGTTCTTCTGCTAGAAACATTTACTTCAAATTCATCATCCTTCAAGCAGCTAATTGTACAGTATTACTAGGGCTCTACCAGTCTTAATTTATAAGATGAACCAAGGATTTGAAGAAGAAAAACTGAGAATTAACTATTTCATAACAATACCTCATGGCTTTTCTATTACTAATTTCTCATGAAAATCCTTTAGTTGAAACAAACCTCAGGGTCCATGATAACTTCCATCTTTAATCATGTTTCCCCAACTTAGAACGTGAATAAAACAGCATTTGAAGTGAGTAAGCATTTGGTTGCTTGAAATAGCCAAAATAATTATCCATTTAATTCTAGATCCACCCATTACTAGCTGTATGACATTAAGTTACATAAGTTTGTAGCATCTCAGTTTACTCATCTGCAAAATGACAATAATGGGAGTAAATTCACAGTGGTGTTGTAAGAAGTAAAATAAAACAGATAAACTGCTTAGAAAACCCCTGGTCTAAGGCAGTAATCAGTAATAAGCTTTCATCTCTAATCATACTTCTGAACTCTCAAAAAGACATAAAGTCATAGTCTTAACAATTAAGGCCACAGCTTGGATCTGCCTTTGACTTTGAAGCTTGTATCTTTTACTTAGTATCCTACGTCCCTTAATTACCTCGGTGCCATCTCTGGATAAAGCATTGGTCTAGGCACAGGGCATATGAAAGGATTAAAAAGATAAGACATCTTTCCTCTTGATTAGAGTTAAGTAAAAGAATAAGAAATGTGCATAAATTATCATTACATAGGTAGAAAGCCATGCCATCAGAGGCAGCAGGTATATGGGAATTCAGTGGACACAACAGTTCATTCCAGGTGATAGGTGGTGCAGGGCTGGAGGTGGGAATCAAATAGTAACCACCATGGTATGGAGTTCAGGCCAGCTACACAAAAAGGTACCACTCAGCAGGGTCTGGCCATAAGGGAAGACTATGACCTCATAGAGTTTCTGGCTACACACACACTCTAAGTCTCTTTCCACACAGGCAGGCTGTTCAGGGTGAAGTTTCTCAGAAACACCAGTGCCAAATATCTCTGTATATAAACATGGAGGACTTTAAAATTCCTCTGTACCGGGACCCTGCAGATAAAAGTTGAAATACATAACTCAAATCTATGAGTTTAATTCCATAAAGCTATGTCAGCATCCCGGCTGTTTACAGTGAGAGCTCCGCGGTCCATCTCTCCAGGTTAGTAGTGGAGAAAAGCAGCACTGCTACCAAATGGTGACTGGATAGTCATGGAGAGAAAAATATGTTGACATTTATCCAAAGCCCAGCAAGCAGATGGCAGTGGGCACAAAATCTATCATGACAATTGGCACCTCATTGGGGTGCTCTGAGCAAGGAAGGGGACTGTAAAATGCCCGTTTTTGGCTGCCCTTCCATGAGGCATATTGGCGGCACAGGAGGGGGACAACTGCCTGACTGGTGTCAAGGGGAGAAGAGATGGCCTTTAAAATCTAGGCTACGGCAGCCTCCTGGGTAGTCAATCTGGTGCCTTTTGAGCATCCAGAAAGTGTCTTAAAGATGTGTATCAGACTTCCTCTAGGAGAGATGATATCCAACAGATTCCATTCAACGGTGGCTCACAGGATAACAAACAAAGCTCCGAGATAGAGGGGGTCTGCATTTTCTGTAGCCAGGCCTAGTATGTCAAGTAAATGACACAATATTTTTACCTATTTTAGAATTCTTAAGCTGCTGGTATGTGGATAACCAGTGCATTTGTGTTTTCTAAGCATAAGTGCCAGTGGATGACTAGGGTTGATAGCTAGTTGAATGAGAAGGATCATTACCAGTAACACTCTACTTTGCAGAGGTTTGATAATTTGAAATTTTTAAAAAAGTTGATGAAGATCCATTTTTTTTTCTGAATCATATAGTCTTGTTGTGTTTAAACTATTGCCTAACATTTCAGATACCTTAACCAATCGGCATTAACACATGTATAGATTGCATCACAATACACACACACACACACACACACACACACACATTGCTTAGTCTTAAGCCTTTGATTGGACTTATCTGAATCCACAGAAGATAAAATATAATGCCAAAATGCTGGCCTATATCCCAAGAAACTGTCAACTAAGTTTTAGTAGTAAGAATACCTAACTGTTTAAGTCACTCTGAAATAAAATAGATATTATTCCAATAAGAACTTTACACAAAATTTGACTACTTTGAATTTTCAAATCAGTTTTTAATATAGAACTCTACCCTCGAAAAAAGAAAAAAACCCAGTCAATGCACCTAAGATCCCCTTGACTTTTAGTGTTCTTTAAATAAATTACATAGAATGTGCAGTTTTATATAGACAGACTTTTAGGTAGGAGAACTCAAGTCGTTATTTCAATTGTCTTAGCACCTACAACTGTTTAACAATAAAGGTATCTGATTATTCAACAACCCACCCATATCAAACAGAAAATGGCCAGTTTTGAATAGTTTCTGATCCCAACTGTGGTCAAGACAGAGAAACCATAATCAGTTACTGGCTGCAGAAATTATTACATTATTTCATAATAGCAAGTAACATAAATATCAATATAAATATTACATAAATATATAACTTTATGAAATATCATGCTGAGTAAATATTTTAATTAAAGATAATGCTATAATCAAGGAAAATATTAACAACATATAATTCATTAAAATTGAGATATACAAAACTATCCCAAATATATAAAATGATAAGCATGCAAATAAAATAAATGGTAAGGGATTAAAGTAAGTGAAGATGAATTTTGGTTGAGAAATTAAAAGTCAACATATTATTTATTTATATGCAGCTACTTTTCCCAAGAGTATGTTCTAAAAATTCCCCCCGCAAAAAAAAAAAAAAAATCAAGTAAAATTTTAGGTAAGGAATTCCTTTCATTTCCATAATGGGCAAGAGACTTCTGCTCTACTCTTTAAGAGAAAACGTATTGACTCTGCTACCTTACTGAGTAGTGGAGTGAACTGTGACTGCTCAGGCATGGCCTAGGGTTTGGGCCCCATTACACCCGCTCAGCTTCATCAGTGCATGGGAAGGGAGGCTGTGATCCTCCATGGGGCTGGTTAAGGTTGGCTCTACAGACCCAGCTCTTCCTACTGGCAGCCCCCACAGTGTAGCGTTGGTGGGACAAGGAATGGTAAATAAGGGAGTCCCTCTTTCCTAATTATTTAAGATTATCTATACCTTTCTCCTCAACTGTAAACCCAGTAGCACCAAGGAATAGACCCCAGGCTGCTCTTTTACTTAAATCATCCTTTCCTTGGTAACTGATGCCACACAGCTGGTTAATATGACACGGGGTTTATATATAATCCCGGCAGAGAAATATTGATCCGCAGAGTGCAGGGTTCATTTCAGTATGACCTGTTTTGAAACATTTTGATTTTAAATCATCAATCCCAACTTGTTGGGAGAGCTGTCTGAGTAAAACAAAATCCTTACCAGAATAAACATGCACGTTCCTTGCAATAAATTTTTCTCCCACAAATAAACACAGGACATGCTCTATAAAAGCACCACCCAATGTTAAAACACAATCAGCTCATAATGTATCATTGAAACATGAGTACCTCCAGCCAGGATCTTCTCTTCCAACTCTGCCATTTGCTTCTTGTAGGCTTTTAAAGCTGCTTCTTTGAAAGAGGGACGGATTCTCTTTGGCTTTGTGATTTCCACGGGCTGTTCAGGAATGTTCTGGTTTTCATCTTCTTTTATTTCCATTTCCGGTACCGTTTCATTTAAGGGTTCCAGCCCTCCTTCACTAACCACATCATCTGCCTGCCCATCATATCCCTCATCCTGTGGGGTTTCATAAGGTGTTTCATAAGAAGAGTGATCATATTCCTGCATTGGCTCATCTGTTTCAGTAATACTAGTCCTGTTTTCTAGCTTAGCCAGCACTTGTTCTATCACTTCAACATAATCTGTTTCATTATCTGCCACTGGTTCACTATAGTCCTCCTCATCTTCTGCTTTGTAGTAATAAGGTTCTGTGTAAACATCAGAGTCCAGGGTGGTACATGATTCATTTGCAGTTGATTGTGATAATGTCCGAAATCTCCCCATTAAGGAAGAGCCACTGTCCTCATGCCCGCTGAGACTCTGTGTGCTTTTGTTCCACACCACCTCCAAGGCGGATTTGGCCCGCTGTAGTGTAGATCCAAACTTGGGGAAGCTGAATGTCTTATCAGAAAGGTCAATGCTTAATCGACTATGCCAAGATTTGGGCGGGGCATCCTCTGAATCATCACTTTGCAATTCACTTTGACTTCGATACATTATGGACAACTGGCTTTGATTTTGGTACAACTCATTAGAATTGGCTTCCTGATAAGAATCGTATTGGCCAACCCATTGGCCTTGTGGTTCATTATCCAATCCAGGGCATGGAGATGAGTTGTCATCTTGGGTTAAATCATAGCTCTCGGAGTCATCCTGAAGGTCACTATGGCACTTCCCCGAGTCTTCTTGGTCTTTATTGTAAACATCTAGTTGTTGATCAGATAGACTGTTTGTGTCATAGTCAAAAGCTTCCTGAGTGGATGAATCCAAACCTAAATCAGCTCCTTGCTCTACTTGATTCCATTCCTTCCATGGAGAAAGATCCTCATGTAAAGAGAGCTGAGAATCACTGTAATGACTTTGGTCTCCAGATGCACATACCATGCCATTACTCATCCCACTATCCACAGTTTCTGTGTTCCCTTGGACACCCTGAACAGCCCCATCCAAAAGTAAGTCCTGGGGATTGTCATACAAGGTAGACGTGCCCTCCTGTTTCCTTTGCCAAAGTTCCCGGTCTGAAGATGACAAGAGGGAGCTTCCATTCGTTCTAGTGAAAAACTGATTTTCTGAAAAATCCTCAGAGTAAGACTGACACAGTTTGGAAAAGTCTGATTCAGAACGACTAAGCTTTGCAGTAAAAAAATCACTCTGTGAGTGCCAGAGGGGTGTTGCATCTCCATAATGGGTTGTAGTTTGCTTTTCCAAGGTCCCTGATTCTGGCAATTGTGAAGAAAGTTTATTATAATCTGATTTATTTGAAATTTTGCTGCTACTAGCAGTTTTATTTTTGGCTCTAGCACTGTGTGATTTTGAACTTGACTTGGAAATACTTCCCTTTGTTGGGAACTCTGACTTGGAAAGCACAGCGTAACTGTTTCTATTGAGGTCAGATTCCAGCTCTCCATCACTGTCATCTGGTAGCTGCCAATTATTCTTCTTGACTTGGGGCTCTGGAGTAGACAACTTTATATCCATGCTCTCATATGTCTGCGAAGATGGGATCCCTCTCTCTTTTCTTTCTCTGATGTCATGAGTAAGGATATCTGTTGAGATTCCGATACCTGTTCCTTTGAGTTTATATGATTTTTTTAAGACGGAATCCCTTTGCTTAGGAGTTTCAAAGTACACCAGTATGGGCCGTGGCTTTGCATTTGGGCAGTCCCTTTGGTGTCCTATTCTCTGAGCAAATTCAATTTTAATAGCATTTGGTGCATCTGAAAAACCCATTTTATCTACGAGAATTTGGTACACCACAAGTTCAACATATTCAAATCTTTCTTCGGGCACATTTAAAAATCTCAGGCTTGCCTTGCTCCCCATATGGCCTAAGTGCTTAATATAATCATGGATGTCTCTGGTTTCCCTCCGAGACTGGACGAACCCTGTACGTAGCTGTTCAATTTCACTTTGTACAACCTCCACACTGCTGGAGATCTCATCGATGGAATGCTTGAGAGCATTGACATGCCCTCGTAGCTCAGAAAGTTCTGTCTCAATCTGACTTATTCCCTGAAGTTCCTTAAAGATCATTTCCATGACATCATGTGTTTGACTAATGCAGCCAGAGGAACTGAATCCTGGCTCCAGGGCATTTGTCTTTGGGTTTCGGGCAGTTCTGTCCAAAGATTTGCTTCTTATTCCCCAGGTTTTCTTCATTGTGCTCAACTCTGAATCTGAGGAGACACAGTCTTGACTCTTCTTCCATTTCCTCAGTTTACGTAAAGCTCCTAGTTTTAAGCTATGCAGAGTGCGCTCCCCATCAGAGCTGCCCTCCGAAGGAGCCAGGCTGCTTGAACTCTTCCTATTGCGTTTAACCGGCATCATGAGTGTTGACTGTGGGTGGTTTTCTACACTACTCCTTAGTTCATTGAGGGATTCTGAGTAGGAACTCTCAATGGAAGATAACTCTTGAAGCAGATCTTCATTATCACTGTTGGTTACATTAATATTTTTTTGTAGGCCATTGGCAATAGCTACTCGGTAACTGAATGTTGGTGAGAGGGAAAATTCTTTGTTAGCTTCATCTTCTTCAGCGGATAAGTTGCGAGTGGATGAACACTTGGCAATCTTCTTTACGGTACTTTTCAAGGTATTAGAAAGTCTGGGGGTTTTGGTGTGGCCGGCAGCAGGAAAGTCTTGATCCCTTTTCTGCTCACGATTCTCTTTTTTTTTGTTTGTATTTCCCAATTTCTTTGTAAACATTCCTTTGCAAAGCTTATGTATGTAAGGTAAAATCAGGCTCTTGAAAAAATTAGCCACCATGGAGAGCAATTAGCGCAGGCTTCTCTACTCCAAAAACATAAACAAGGTGGCAGGATGAAAATCTGTAAACCCAAGGCAGGCATCACTGTTCAGATGTTCTGTGAATCATTGAAAACAGCTGGGAGGGCAGCGTGGCTCTGCCACAAAGTCAATGTCCTGTGAAAACCAGAACCAAAGTTCCATTTATGAATGGCATTCTCTCTTGGAGGAGGGGTTTCATGAGTTGCTCTCATTTCCGCATGACTTGGAGTATTGTCTAAAAGAAAGCAATGTAAAAGTGAGTATCAGAAATTAATTCTAGACTTATCCCATTTCTGACATTTTTCAAAAGTATTCAAGATACCTAATGTGTGAAAAATTGCAGAGGGAGCAGGGTGATATATTACTTTCAATACACCGTTACTTTCAAAACAACTCTAAAGCAAATAAGTAGCAGTATCTGTGTTTAAATTATATTTTTTTCTAAATTATTTATGGGCAGACACAATTGAATGGTAATAAAAGATAATGATAATTCGCAAAGGTTTGTATAAGGTGACAAATTTAAAAGCTATATTAACTGCATATTATCATTTCCCCATTCTTTTATTTTCTAAATTGCATTTACTTAGAAACACATAAGCATTTAAATTTAAATGTATATCCCCTACCCCAGACATTTAAAATTAATCAAATTAATAGTATCCATATATGTAAGACCTTTTCTTATTCAAGTAATCTTTTACTATTCTAGGCATTCAATGATTTGGAATTGCTTAAATAATGATTAAAGTAATCCAAGTAAGACATATGTCATATGCTGAAGTAAATACTAAGAGGAAATACATCTTTTACAGCCATCAAATTTGTCAATGAAATATAATGGTTGAAAAGAAATAGAAGGTTCTATAAAATTAGGTATTATAACAACAATAAATCCCATTAGGAAAATATATTTGAAAATGCAGAAAGCACGTCCAAGATTTGAAAGAACGTGACTTGAGAGAGCAGAGCCATGCTCATCACCCCGTGCAGCCCTGCGGCAGATGGCAGGAGGCTCATCCCCAGGGTTAGCACCATGAATAGCCATAGGTTATCAAATCAGAAAAAGAAACTGTGCCACAAATAAAGTGTTCCTACGGAGAATCAAGAATTGGTTGGATACAGAAGGAGGAGGAGGAGGAGGAGGAAGGAGAGGGGAAAGAAGAGAAAGAGGAGGAGAAGGAGGAGAAAAAAAGTATACGAATTTTGCTGGTTCACTAGCAGTGTGACTTGTCTGTAATTTCATTCAAAGAAAATGTTGTTATATTTAACTCACTGTTTTATTGTTGAAATAGATCGCAGAATAATGGTAGCAGCCAAAAGCCTGTGCTGACATTGGACTACATATGTGGGTAGATAAATATTCTATTTAATTCTTTAAAGTTACATCATGAACTGCATATTGTTGTAGGAGTCAACTGACTCGTTACCAGCTCCCTTCACTTGGAAACCTGCCATTTCTCTTCCCTCGGGCTCTGCAGGGACTTAGAGAAAACATCTCTGGCGGGAGCCAAGCTTGAGGAGAGGCAGGGCTATGGACTGAGAAGGGGAAGCGAAAAGATGAAGGAGAGAAACAGAGGAACTCTAAAGAAGTCCAAGTCTTCTTGGGTTTCATAGGCTGTCAGAGACCAGCTCCTCTTGTCTGAAACAATTTGCTGTTCATTCAAAAGTATAAGCCTGAATCTGTTTTCTACTAATAAAAATGTCAAGGAATTGAGTCCTGAATTAATTTAAAATAGTATTTATTGTACCCCATGTGACCTCTCCTTGTGGAGAAATGACTTTGGAAAGTTAAGTAGTAGGATGGTAAATAAATTACTTTCAAATCAACGTTGATAGAATAAATTGTTCTATTTACTAATCACTCAGTCCAAGATCCCGGGTCTTCCAAACCTAAAAAAAACACACCTACTTTTTGTTTAAATGAAAGCAGTAATTTTGTCAATGCTTCTGATATTTTCATGAAACTGTATCTGGACTTCCTGACTTTTATTACTAATTCAGAACTATTACTTTACAAAATCATTGTTGAAAAAAAATTTTGAGCAGAAAAATTCAACCCAAATTGAAATCCCGGTTCAGAAAATATGAACCCAAGGGCATGTATCCATGTTTACACATACTAATTCACTTGTTCTATATTCTAATCACATACAGTGACTTGTTATTCACTAAGGGATCCATGCTCTTTCACACCTCAGTAACTTTTCTGTTCCCTCTCCCTAGAATATCACTCATGCCAGCAACCCTGTCTGTAAAAATTGTGTTTAAACTCCAAAATCATTTGTCCTGTGAAGACTTCACCAACCACCCAAACTGAGCTTTTGTCTCTCTTTGCCACACTGTCCTACAACCTAGCTCATAAGCAATTAGAATTCTGTAGTATAATCTCATTTCTGTCTCCACTTGATGGACTATGTCCTCTTTAAGGGTAAAAAATTAAGACTTATCCTATTTTAAACATTCTGAACCCAGCATGCATGATAAGCACTCAAGAATCATTTGCAGAAGAATTGGCCCAAAGGGTACAAAGTTTTAGTTATGCAAGATGCATAAATCTTACAGCTCTACTGTACAGCATAGCGCCTCTAGTTAATAATGAGACTGTATTGTATACTTAACGTTTTTGCTAGGAGGGCGGGTTCATGTTAAGTATTCATGTCAAAAAGTAATAATAAAGCAAGAAGGAAAGGCAGAAGGAAACTTTTGGAGATAATAGATATGTTTATGGCATAGACTATAATGATGGTTTCACAGATGTATACTTATACCCAAACTCATTTTAAAAGTTAAAACAATTGTCACTTACTAAATATCTTCGTCTGGTTGCCCCAAATCAAACTCTATTCAAACCTAGTCATTTTTCTTAATTATTCATCTCCATTAATATCATAATAAGTATCTGCTTACTCAAGACTTATACCCAGGACTCATTCCTGGGAATATTCTAGATTGATATCATTCTAGATTCATATAATCTATTCTATATCCATATCCAATATATGTTATCTCATCTCACTAGTAATGCCTTAGTTCTGAACTCCATTTCTTATCTGAACTATTAAAAATGTATCTTATGTGGTCTTCCTAACTCTAATTTGGCCCTTCACTCAAATCCTCCTCTCTAAAATTAATATACTTTCCTTTTCGTTGAATTTATTGGGGTGACATTGGTAAATAAAATAATATAGCCCTAGCTGAGTAGTTCAATTGGTTAGAGATTGACCTGGTGTGCAGCTGAAATTGCAGGTTCAGTCCCTGGTCAAGAAGCAACCAATGGATGCATAAAAAATTAAATTACATATTACATAGGTTTCAGGTGTACAAAACCATGAATATATTCTTAAAAGATAAAAATTGTCCCACTTAAAATACTACCTGTCTTAGGAGACTCATTTCCTATCACTCCCACAAGCACATCTGCCCCAGCCACATTGAGGTAGTAACAGTTTCCTGATTACCACATAGTTGCCTCACAAATGTGCCTTTTTTCAAGCTGTTCTCTCTGCCTCCATTCCTTTCATGAATATCTCTAGAATTAAGATAGATCTTCATTCAATTACAGTCCATCTGTATTTTTTACTCACTTCCATTGCTGCTCTTTGATATAGTAGTAAACAATGACACTAATACTTCTACTAGTACTTTGGGATCTACAAAGTATTTTTTTGTGTGTAAAGTTATATGATCTTCATGGTAACCTTAAAAGTCTATTATCTCCAATTATTGTTATAGACAGTGAGTCTCTTAGATGCTCAAGTGGTTGCTGGTGTCTCCTGACTTTAAAGTTTGGTTTCTTCACTATAATAATTTTTTAAAATATATGTATATATTTTATTGATTTCAGAGAGGAAGGAAGAGGAAGAGAGAAATAGAAACATCAATGGTGAGAGAAAATCATTGATCGGCTGCCTTTTACACACCCCCTACTAGGGATCTAGCCCACAACCCCTGCATGTGCCCTTGATCAGAATCAAACCCAGGACGCTTCAGTCCTCAGTCTGATGCTCTATCCACTGAGCTGAATCCACTGGGGCCACTGTAATAATTTACATTCTCCTTACTTTAGACCTTTAATAGCTTACTGGTCTCCTAAAGTAATATTTTCCACCATTACAAACCATCCCATGGACTGATTTCCATCTTACCTTCCTTCAAGGTCATTTTCCTTTTTTTTTCTTTTTTTTTGATCTCCTACTAAATACTATTGCGTACCCAGTACTCTGGGCCATTCATGGATCCACTAAGCTTATTTTTTGTGTTTTATTCACTCTTCTTAGAATGTCCCCTGGTTTCAACCATTAAGGACAGATCAAAACTAAACTTTTACATGAAAATTTAACTACTCAAGTCATCTTCCTTTTTTCCTGTCCTTATTGTCTGAACCATGAAATTTATTCCTTAATTATTCTTCTAAACTATTTATCAAAAATAGCCTTTGCACATGTTTTTCTATTTTTTTGTCTATTATGTTCCAGTTTCTTGAATGCTCTGTATAGACTATTACATTGATATTTGACCATAATCTCTGCAGTAGGTACTGTTATTAATCCCCACTTTATAGGTGAAGAAACAGAACCTAAGTAACTAGCCCCAAGCCACATAGGTGGGAAGTGGTGTGGCAAGAACTGTAACCCAAACTAACTGGCTTCAGGGTCCGTTACACTAAATAAATCTATAACAAGAAATTATGAATATTGCTGGCAAATTGGTACATTGATTAGATGTCCACACATCTAATTAATGAAATCTAAAGAGCTCTGCACTTTCGGTGTCTCAATAAAAACGTGTTCACAAAGTATGCTTCACAGATGATTAGCCCTGCCAGCTCATTTTGCTCAGTTTTATTATTTCTACCTGCCCCAAAATTAACTCTAATGCCAAGAGCACATCCTTAAAAGCAACACAATAGGTTAAAAATTAGTAATAACTTCAGACTAACTTCTAACTGACCAATAAGCACATGGAAATGTGTTCTATGTTATTATTTTAATTACCAGAAAAAATGCAAATTAAAAAACAAAATGAGATACCATTTCATACAGACAAAAGTAACTAAAATATAAAAATACCAGCTACACCAAATGCTGGGAGAAGCTGTGGAACAACTAAAATTTTATACAGTATAGAGAACAATGTAAAAGAATATAATCACTTTAGAAGCTTTTAGCAGTTCCTTATAAAATTAAGCCTTCATTCACACTATGACCCAGCAAGTGCATTCCTAGGTATTTA